CCACCTTTTTAAATAAAAAAATTGAAAACATTATAAATTAAGAGTTGGATAGAGGAATAAATTCAATGTAAAAAAATTAAACTCATAAAAAAGAAATATATAATTATATTTGTGTTTGTGTTAAAATATTGTGAGCAAGCTCAGAATAATGAGTTGTTTGATAGAGGGGGGAAATATTTGGATTGCTATAGAATCAAAGATAATAGGTACAATGTATTGATAAATAAGTTAATTAGAAAGAATTATCATTAAAGATGTCAAGTATATTCAATAAGTTAGGAAGAATTATAATTTAAGATGCCAAGCAACTCTAAATTGACAAAGAAAAGTTCTTAATATCACTTAAAACAACAAGCCAAGTTAATTGCAAGTTATGCCATTAGCTTAACTTCTTGAATGATACAAGTGAGCCTCGTCAAACCAAACTCCATAAAGCGCGAGAGGTAGTAATTCATGTCTTATAAACTTTAAAAATCTTTTCTTGATCTCAAAATATTCATAACACTTAACTCAGCACAATAGCATAATTCTTAATTCAATTTGACTTTAATTACATATTGCTTTCCATTGAAAAACAGAAGCTCACTTGTCTCTCTTAATTTTTTCCCCCGTTTTATAATCATTTCCAATATTCAACAATATTATCTAAGCAACTAACTTATATATATATATATATAGTTAAATTATTTTTAAAGTAGACTTTTTTTTTGTAAGATAAATTCAAATCCTTCTCCACTTCTCCACTTCGTCCTCCCTACTCTATTATAATTATTTTAAATCGTTTTGATTAATATCCATGATTTGAATTTCATGTTTTAAAATTATTAAAATTAAAATTGAAAAATGAATAAAAATATGAATTAAATTTAAAATAATTTAGAGAGATTTAAAAAGTAAAACGAGTGAAGAAAATTTGGGGGAAAAAAGATTAAGTTTGTTTTGGGAGCTCAAGGCCACGTGAAGATCATTGAAATTATGTTGACCAACTGCCAAGAGGCTGATCAGTTTTCAAAATTCCAGAAACAATAATTCCAAGTCCCCGAGAAATTCCACACTTTGTATATTATTTGGAACAAGTTTTGATTTCTTGCTTTCTTTGACATCGACCTTGTGGAAATTAACAGTGTTCGTTCACGTGCTTCATTTGAAAATCTCAACAAACAGCACATATTGGCCTTCTTCATTACTCCAAACATTTTATTTACTACTACTACTTCCATCAAAATTCATAAAACATTTTAAACAAAATCATGTTTATAAATAAATTTTATTAAACACACTTCACAACCTTATTTTTTAAAATATAAATAGAAATTTTAAAAAATATTTTTTATTTAATAATTTATTTATGAAAAAGTATTAAAAAGAGAGAAAAATAATTAAAAGGGTAATATTAAAAAATAAATCATTAATAAAATTTTATTTTTATTAAAGTGTTTCATATTTTAAAACATTAGATTTTTCTCAAAACTCTTATAACGTGGGATAGAAGGAGCAACAATCATGATTCATATGTGCGTGCATGTGTGCTATGCAATATCTATGGATACATGCGGACTTGTGAAGTGCATGATGAATGAGACTGAACCAACAAGTTGGTAAAAATTAGATTCATATTAGTTTAAATTCTATTTTCAATATGAAAATTTCTCATCATGGTTATTTTTTTTTTTTACAATACACGGAAAAAACTAAAGCAGCAAAAGAAAACTAATTAGCCGGATCAACATCCAATAGACGAACAAACAGTAGCTTCGTCTTCAGGAAGAAGCACATTATGGGTAATATATAGTATGTAAATACATTTTTTGTTAGGCAAATATAATCTCTTGTTGGAGACAATTTTATTTAAAAAAAAAATTAGACATTGAATGTAGACTTTCTGTCAATAATAATTTGAATATTCATTTGTTACGTTATAAGATTTTAGTTCTTTTGGCTAGATCTAATCACCTTGTTGATATACTTCTTTCCATTTAAAAATATAAGTTATTTTTTAAGGAGTGTGATATTAAAAAATATAAGGTATTTTTAATCTTTTAAATGTAATCATTGTCTTTTTTTTTTCAAAAGTGCTCTTATTGATGAATGGCTTTATATTTATTGTAAAATATTTAATAGGAGTAAATGTCAAAAGATAATGTTAGTTTAAAAGTAGATAACTATATTATTAAGGATGAGATTCAATTAAAAATGTCTATATTTTTTATGAAGGGAGTAGTAACTATTTTGTTGATATGCTTTGATTTCAGTAATCCTTCGAAGAATGACTTACTGGGTAATTTTGTATGAGTGTTACTTTAGCTTTAGTGATTCTAGACACCTAATTACTTACCTTTTTTTTAATCTAGGAGAAGAATAAGGAGGATTAAAATTGACCCTTTGCCCATGCAATGAGGGAAGAATTGTTTGCAAGAAAAGTAAATGTTTGGAAGCAAACCTCTAAGTATTAAGTCATCTGTCGTTTACCTGATGCTGAAATTAACTTCATTCTCAGCATTGTTTGGTTTTTCTTGCCCAGTTTCTTCTTCAATTTTCCATTTGCAATAACCAATTATATTTGGTTTACCAAGTTTCAACTACTTCCACTAATTTATCTAACAATGGTCACTTCTAGAGTTACTTAATTAAGTACAATAGGTATAGCCTTCACATGTTGCTTCCAGTATAATTTAACAGTAAGAAGTGTAAATTATATGCTTATATAACATAATTTAATGTTAAAAAATTGTCTGTAGTTATTTCTTAAAATAATTAATTAAGATTTGTTAACATGAAGCAGTCAGAAATATCATACGTTCCCCAAAAAGATTTTTTTTTTGGTTTTT